GACCAGGTTGCCTGTCACTGCTGACCTCTCTTCTTCCCTCCGCTACGCGCCATCCTTCAAGCTAGCTAGAACTTGAGCGCGCGCGAAGCGCGCGATGGTTCTAGTATGTGTGTGTGTGTGTGCGCCCTCTTGGGTGCGCCCCCGTGCGCTCCCCGCTGCCCCCTTGCCCCGAGGTCGCCCCTCCCGTGGTCGCTTCCTCGGTCGACCCCTTCCCTCGGCAGCCGTCCCGAGGGGCGAGCCCTGGGCTCTTCGCCTGGCCGCGGGATATCCTGGCCGCGGCTGTGGCTACAGAGGCGTTCGGGCTCCCGAGTCTCCGACTGTCTCCGCGTCGTCGCTGCTGCTGCTGCTTCTGCTGTTGCTGCTGCTGAGGCGGAGGCGGAGGAAGAAGAGGATGAGGAGGAGGAGGAGGAGGAGGCGGAGGAGGCGGAGGAGGAGGAGGAGGAGGAGGAGGAGGAGGATGAGGAGGAGGAGGAGGAATAATAATAAGACAATAAGAATAATAATAACAATAATATCAATAATAAGAAGAATAATGATATTAAGAATAAGAATAATAATAATAAGAAAAATAAGACGAATCATAATAAGAAACATAATGATAATAAGATTAGTAAGAAGGCGAATTACTAATACTACTAATGATAATAATACTAATAATAATAAGAAGAAGACTATTAATAATAAGACGAATAATACTAAGAATGATAATACGAATAATAATAACAAGAAGAATAATATTAATAAGAAGACGAATAATACTAAGAATAATAAGAACATGAATAATAATAATAATAAGAAGATGAGGAGGAGGAGGAGGAGGAGGAGGAGGAGGACGAGGACGAGGGTGGAGGAGGAGGAGGAGGGAGGAGGAGGAGGAGGAGGAGGAGGAGGAGGGTGGAGGAGGAGGAGGAGGAGGAGGAGACGGAGGAGGAGGAGGAGGAGGAGGAGGAGGAGGAGGAGGGAGGAGGAGGAGGAGGAGGAGGAGGAGGAGGAGGAGGAGGAGGAGGAGGAGGAGGAGGGGAGGGAGAGGAGGTGGAGGAGGAGGAGAAGGAGGAGAAAGAGGAGGTGGGGCTGCGTCTCCCCAGGCGACTCCGACAGGGCATGCTGGAGTTGTCTTTCAAGCCTCCCAGTCTTCGTCTTCGTCGTTCGTTCTTCTTCGTCTTCGCCGTCGTTCGTTCTTTGTCGTTCTTTGTCGTTCTTTGTCGTCGTCGTCGCCAGCGTCGGCGCTGCCTCAGAAGGGGGCCTTGACGACCCGAAAAGGGCACCTCTCCCCCCCCACTTATCGCCCCCCCATTGATTCGCGCCCGAACGCCAAAAAACGTGAGAAATCTGGGAACTTACCGCCAGCCGGGGCTGCCAGGTCGGTTGGAGGGGGGGTGTGGTGGGGGAGACGGCTCCGCTCCAGGGCCGCGGAGGCGGTGGCCAGCTCCGCCTTGCACTCCCGCGGCCTCTCCCGAGGGGGCGGACAGGCAGGGGCACGTCCGTCGTGTTTTGGCTCCCTGCCCCCCTCTGAGCCCTCCGGCGAGGACACGCGCTGCCTCACCACCCCGCGGTCGACCACTGTCTGCCTGCCAGCCAGGTCGACGTGCAGCAGCCAGGCGGCCCCGCCCCCTTCAGGGCAGGGGAGGGGAGGGGAGGGGAGGGGAGGGGATCGGAGAGGATGGAGGGAGGGGGAGGGGACGCAGACCCAGACCCCGCCGCGACACGCTTTCCAAAAGTTCCTGGCCGTCGGTTTCTAGGCTGGCCTCGCGCGCGCCCCGAGAGGGCACGAGGTCCTGGCAGAGACTGAAGCGGCAGCCACCGACACGACGGCGACGACGAGCGGCGACGGCGACGGCGAAGAGAAGGACGACAGACGAGCGAGGCGGGGGAGGGATGGTGGGAAGGGTGGAGGGAGGAGGGATGATGGGATCGATTGCTGTGCGAGCTGCGTGGGGCGCTGAAGCGGCGGCAGACCGCCGGGTCCTTCATAGCTCCGTAGGTACTTCCTACCCAGGGGAGGTCGCGGCGGCCCAGGGACCGCTGGCGGCATGCGGTCGACAGGGGAAGGGAGGGGAGGGACAGACGGGATGGAGTCTCCTGGCCGGATGAGGGGGAGGAGAGGAGAGGAGGAGGAGGAGGAGGAGGAGGAGGAGGAGGAGGAGGAGGAGGAGGAGGAGGAGGAGGAGGAGGAGGAGGAGGAGGGGGAGCAGGAGGAGGAGGAGGAGGAGGAGGAGGAGGAGGAGGAGGAGGAGGAGGAGGAGGAGGAGGAGGAGAGGCCGGGGGATTGTGGAACCCCTCGTCGTTTTCATACGGTCTTTATCGAGTGAAACGCTCTTTCACCCTTACACTTTTTTTTGTTTTGTTCTTTTCGCCGTGATCCCCTCATACTATTTTCTCATTCTACCGTTCTCTGATGTTCTCTTTCTGTTTCTCTCTCGCTTTGTCTCTCTCTTTCTCTCTCTTTGTCTATCTCGTGCACCAGGCCAATGCATGCCGATGCGATAAAAATCCATTCCCAACCATCACCAATGCCAATGCAATGCCAATGGGAGAATCCTTTCGTTCGGTGGATTTCAATAAGAATACTTTGTGGATGATGTCATTACGAATCCTTCCTCGGAGGATTTGAATAGCAATGCTTATGTGTAGGGTTTCGATGGGGATCCTCGTTTGGAGGGTTTCACTAGGAATCCTTCTTGTGGGAGGATTCAATCGGAATCGTTCTTGTGGAGGGTTTCAGTAGGAGTCCGTCTGCGGAGGGAGCCATTAGGACTCGCCAGCGCAATGCCAACGCAATGCCAAAGCTTTGCCATTGCAATGCCGAACCAATGCCAAGGCAATCCCAATTCAATGCCAATGCAATGCCAATGGGGGGTATCCTTTGTGGTAGATTCCAAAAGGAATCCTACCTGTGGAGGGTTTCGATTGGACTCCTTCCGTGGGAGGTTTCAGCGTGAATCTTGTATTGGGGGGCTTTCAAAAAGGATCCCTTCTTGTGGAAGGTAAGGAAACCTTCTGTGGTGGGAGCCATTCGAACTCGCCAGCGCAATGCCGAAGCAGTGCCAACGCAATGCCAAACCAATGCCAATGCAATGCCAATGGGGGGAATTGTTTGTGGTAGATTTCAATAGTAATCCTTCTAAGACCTTTCTTCGGGGGATTTCAATAGGAAGCCTTACATGGAGGGCTTCACATGGAACCCTTCTGTTGAGGATTCCAAATTGAATACTTCTTGTGGGGTGATTAAATAGGCATCCCTTTTTGGGGGGTGTTCACTAGGAGTCCTCTTGTGAAGTGTTTGAGCAGGACTCGCCAGCGCAATGTCAACGCAATACCAACGCACTGCTAACGCACTGCCATTGCAATGCCAATGCGATGCCAAGCCGTTGCCAAACCAATGCCAATGCAATGCCAATGGCGGGATATCTGTCTTCAACAGATTTCACTAGGAATGGTTCTGTGGATGATTTGGTTACGAATCCTTCTTCGGATGATTTCGATAGGAATCCTCCCGTGGAGGGTTTCGATTGTAATCTTTCTCGGTGGGGGTCACTTTGAATCTTTCATGTGGGGGCTTTCAAAACGATCCCTTCTGGTGCAAGGTGTTCATATGAATCCTGCTGTGGGGGGAAGCCATTCGACCTCGCCAGCGCCATGCCAACGCAATACCAACGCAATCCCAAACCAATGCCAAAGCGATCCCGATTCAATGTCTATGCAATGCCAATGTGGGAAATCGTTTGTGGTCGGGTTCAAGAAGAATCGGACTATGGAGGGCTTCGAATGGAATCTTTCCGTGAGGGAGTTCAATATGCACCTTTCTTGTGGGATGTTTCAATCGGAACCCTGCTTGTGGGGGGGTTCAACGGGAATCATTCTGCGAAGGGAGGTGTTGGAACTCGCAAGCGCAATGCCAGCGCAATGCCAACGCAGTGCCAATGCAATGCTACACCAATGCCAAAGCGATCCCAACCCAATGCCAATGCACTGCCAATGGGGGAAATCCTTTGTTCTAGATTTAATTCGGAATCCTTCTGTGGAGGGTTTCGCGTGGAATCCTTCTGTGGAGGGTGTCAATATGAAGCGTTTCTGTGGAGGGTTTCAAGAGGGGTCCTTCTTGTAGAAGGTTTTGATCGGAGTCCTTCTCTGGAGGGTTCCAGTAGGACTCGCCAGTGCAATTCTTGCGAAACGCATGCACACTAGCAACGCACTCTGCCAAGCGCAATGCCAACGCAATGCCAATGCGATGCCTAACCATTGCCACACCAATGTCGATGCAATGCCAACGGGGGGTTCTTTCTTTCGAAGCATCTCAATATCAATCCTTCTGGTGGTGATTTCAATAGGAATCCATCATATGTGGAGGATTTCAGTAGGAATCATTCAGTGGAGGGTTTCGATAGGAATCCTTCTGTAGAGGATTTCACTATGAATCCTTCTTGTGGTGCGTTCAATAGGAATCCTCCTAGGGGGAGGGCCGTGAGGGAGTTCAATGTGAACCCTTCTTGTGGGATGACTCAATCGGAATCCTTCTTGTGGGGGGCTCAACAGGAATCATTCTGCGAAGGGAGGTGTTGGAACTCGTTAGCGCAATGCCAGCGCAATGCCAGCGCAATGCCAACGCAGTGCCAACGCAATGCCACAGCAATGCCAAAACGATCTCAACCCAATGCCGATGCACTGCCAATGGGGGAAATCCTTTGTGGTAGATTTCAATCGGAATCCTTCTGTGGATGGCTTCGCATGGAATCTTTTTGTGGAGGGTGTCAATATGAACCGTTTCTGTGGAAGGTTTCGATATGAGTCCTTCTTGTAGAAGGTTTTGATCGGGGTCCGTCTGTGGAGGGTTCCAATAGGACTCGCCAGCGCAATTCTTGCGAAACGCAAGCACACTAGCAACGCATTGCCAAGCGCAATGCCAACGCAATGCCAATACGATGCCAAACCATTGCCAAACCAATGCCACTGCAATGCCAACGGGGAGTTTTTCTTTCCAAGCATCTCAATATCAATCCTTTCTGCGGGTGGTTTCAATGGGAATCCATCTGTGGAGGATTCCAGTAGGAATCATTCAGTGGAGGTTTTCGATAGGAGTCCTTCTGTAGAGGATTTCACTACGAATCCTTCTTGTGAGGGCGTTCAGTAGGAATCCTTCCAGGGGAAGGGCAGATCAGGCCACGTCGCATTCCTTTTTTTCACCGCCGACCCCCCCAAAAAATACGAATAACTATCATGTTAAACATTTCCAGCATTTTTTTGTTTGGGGGGGAAGGGGGGAGAGAAAAAAAAAGGAAGAGGAGGAGGAGGAGGAGGAGGAGGAGGAGGAGGAGGGGGAGGCGGAAGGAGAGGAGGACGCCACAGAGTACGCACACCACTGAAAGACGCACGCGCGAACTCAGTGTGAAAGCCTCGCGCTCGCGCCCTGGAACCCCGAGGGGCTCCACACTCCCCCGTTCTTGAGGAGGAGGAAGAGGCGGAGGAGGAGGAGGAGGAGGAGGAGGAGGCGGAGGAGGAGGAGGAGGAGGAGGAGGAGGAGGAGGAGGAGGAGGAGGAGGAGGAGGAGGCGGAGGAGGAGGAGGAGGGGGAGAGGCCGTCGGCCGGGCATTTCCAGGGTGCCCGCCCGCGCCAGAAGAGCGCGCGCGCCGATCGGCAGGGGCGCGCGGACGGCCCTGGAGAGGGCTTCCTGAGGGGCGGGGGTGGACTCTCCCCCTCTCCCTGCCCCTCCTTCACCTTCCTCTCCCCCCTTCCCCCTCCCTCCCTTCCTCCTCTCCGTCCCCTCCGCGTGTGTGTGCGCGCGTGAGTGTGTGTTTGTGTGTCTGTTTTCGCAGGATTGTAATGGCCTCCGGCCAGTGCCGCCGATCGGGGGGGCTCTGGATTCGGTGATCTTCGCGGCTCTGTGGCCTCCTCCCTCCTCGATTCTTCCGGTCCTTTCTCTTCTCCCTAGTTCTCGTTATTCTCTGCCTCCCACTGACCCCTTTGCGTCGCGTGCTCGCTCCCCTCTCCGTCCTCGCTCGTCCTCGTTCCCGCTGGGGAAGTGCCTGGAGAGGTCCCGGGGGGAGTGCGGGGAGTATTCCGAAGGGAGGGTCCTGGGGCGGTAGCGGCTAGATCTGAGGGGAGTCCCCGAAACATCTTGTGGATGCGCAAATCATTAAGAAAACGCCAGACGCGGGACCGCCCTCCCCCCCCTCCCCCCTTACCCGGGCCCCCCGAAACATTTTGGGGATGCGCGAATCGTTAAGAAAACGCCAGATGGGGGACCGCCCCCCCCCCCCCCTCCCCTCCTCCCCTTCCCCGGCAGAGCCACCCGGGCGACCCCCAAGCAGAGCTGAAGCTCTTGGTTAGGCTCAGAGCTGAAGCTCTAGAACTGAAGCTCTTGCTGAGGCTCCTTCCAGTTCACACGCCGGATCGGCGGATTTTTTTGGGGGCGTTTTACAATCCAGCTTCTTGTGGTGTTTCAAATGGTGCTGCCGGTGCAGCGTGGCACAGCGTGGGCCTCATTTTCGGATCGGCGGCCCGCTCCCATCGTTCAGAATGGCGCTCTCGCCCTAGCGCGGGCCTCTTTTCTGGATCCGAGTCTTGCTTCGTTGTGGCCTCCCCATCATTTCTCCTCCTCCTCCTTCCCCTGGTCCTACTGTTCCTCCCGCTCCTTCCACTCCAGTTCCTGTTGCTGCTGCTGCTGCTGTTCGTCTCGCCCCAGCGCGGGCCATTTTTCGGATTCCGACTCTTTCTTTCTCGTTGACGTCCCCTCATTTCTTCTCCTCCGCTTTGCCCTGACTTTCCTTTCCCTCCCGATCCTTCCGCTCTAGTTCCTGCTGCTGCTGTGCGTCCTCATCCATTTCCTCCCGCTCATCCTCCTGCTCGCCTGCCACCCCCTCCTCCTCCTCCTCCTCCTCCTCCTCCTCCTCCTCCTCCTCCTCCTCCTGTGCACGCAGCTCCCCTTTTTTTCCGATTGCGCATGACACGAAGTGTTCTTTCTGTGTGAGTTGCAGGTTGGCTATGACACGTGTCCGCGGGTAGAGAAAACTCAGCGCCATGGGAAGGGATGAGAGGGAGGGGCAGGATCTCAGATGAGGCGACAGCGCACCTAGCTTGCCGTCCCCCCCTCCCTCCCTTCCCCCTGCTTCCCTCGCAAAGCCCCAGAACTCCTTTCTCCCTCCCTCCTCCTTCTTTCCTTCTCTGCGAGGACGAGACCGGGGGAGCAGGGTGAAACATGTCGCAGCGACGACCCCCCACCTGCCCCTGCCCCTCGCCTCCCGCGTCAGAGCGCCCACTCTCCTGCCCCACGCCTCCCTTCCTGACCAGTACTCCTCTCCTGGAGGGCGGATCCAGACCTCTGGTGCCCCACAGCACGGAAAACTGCGGCATCCGTCGCTGGCGGCAACGCCGAGGCCAGGTTGGATCGGTTCAGACGCCTCTCTCAGGCGGTCCGCGCCTGCTCCACGCATCCCTACGGGAACACTGCAGGAGTGTCTCCAGTGTGGGCCTCGAGCGGTAACGGCCATGGCCAGCGACACAACACGTGGCTCAGCTGTTGACTGCTCCTCGGTGGCCGGGCTGGCTGTCAGGGTCTCATGGCCGGATGGCCCTTCGGGAGTGATGCTGCTCGCAGGTTGTGCTGCCTCGGGCTTTCTGTGCGCTGAGGGGTTTCTATCGCTGCCTCATGGCCCTCCTCCCATGGTCCGCCCAGCGACCATGCCTTCGGACGCTTATGGCAGATGGGGCACGGGCGCGCCTCCCCCCCCCCCCGGGCGACCACAAAGGATACTGTGCCCGCATGTCCGCCAGCATTCGCCCCCCCCCCAGGCACCAACCAACCTCCGTCCCTCTTTCCTCCCTCGTTCCCTCCTTCCCTCCTACCCTCTCCTGATCGTGGTCGTCGCTGTCGTCGTGCACGCCGCCAGTCCGCCACTGCGCCATTCCGCCGTCATTCCGCCGCCATTCCGCCGCCATTCCGCCGACATTCCGCCGCCGCTGCCGCCCTAGTCGTCGTGGTCGTCGTCGTCGTCGTGGTCGTCGTCGTCGTCGTTGTTGTCGTCGTCGTCGTTGCCGTCGCCGTCGCCGTCGCCGTCGCCGTGGCCGTCGCTGTGGCCGTCGCCTTCGCCGTCGCCGTGGCCGTCGCTGTCGCCGCCGCCTTCGCCGTCGCCGTCGCCGTCGCCGTTGCCGTTGCCGTCGCCGTTGCCGTTGCCTTCGCCGTCGCCGTCGCCGTCGCCGTCGCCGTCGCTGTCGGCGTCGTCGCCGTCGTCGTCGTCCTTCTCGTCGTCGCACTCGCCCTCGTCCTCGTCGTTTTCGTCGTCTTTGCCGTGGGGACTGTGCGTCTCAGGCGGTGTCGACCGACAACCCAGAGGACGCCGGGCATGCGCTTTCGCTCAGGGCGTGTGTGGGTGGGGGGGGGGGCATGACCGCCCCTATTGGTTATCCGTATGGTGTGAATGTTGAGCTTGCAGACAGGGATCCATCAAGAAGCCTCAGAGGCCCGCTGGAAGCTAACAGGCGAGAAGGCATACATTGTTGTAGAACTGTCCGATGTTTTAGAGGGCTTTGGCCTCTCGGTGTGTGTGGCCACTCGGAGTCGTCTTGGGGCAGTCTTTGGTCCTCTTGGAGGTATGTTGAGGATGATCGTGAGCGATTCTGGGTTATCTTGCGCCATCTTGTAGGCCATCATGGGCCATCCGAGGCCATGCTGGAGCCGTCATGGGCCATTTTGAACGCCAGCGCCTGGCCAGGAGGGTTGTCCAGACCCATCAGGGATTTCTCCTAACAAAGCGGGCGGACCCCTCAAGTCGACGAAGCTGGCGTGGGGTCGACTCCAAGACGGCCCAATAGGCCTACAAGATGGCCCCCGACGGCCAGAAAAGTCCAAACAAGATACAGTCGAGTTTGATTAGTAGGACCCTGCCCAAACAAGGGTACCCTTGTGTCCCGTGTTTCGCGACCCATGCCCTCTACGTTCCACTGGCAATGAGGCCATCGGAAGAGTCTTGTGTCCTCTCGCGTGTCCTCTCCAATCCACCCCAACTTACACGACACGAGGAGGCACGACCTTAGAAGACACACTAAGACAGCTTCCATGTCGGCCTCATATGGCTCCAAGACGCCAGTGAGGGGGCCACCGAGAGGCTCAAAGCTCTGAAACGCCTGGACCTGCGAAGGGCTCTTGAGGCCTCAAGATAGGCTGGTGGGACTTCCGCTCCTCTTCTCGTTTCCTCCCTCCCCCCCATTACTGTTACTCTTCTTCCGCGTCCTCGTCCTCGTCCTCCTCCTCCTCCTCCTCCTCCCACCCATTCTCCCCCCTCTTCCCCGCGAGCGGGAGGGGGTGCGCGCGCGCGAAATTAGATGGAAGAGCGGCGAGCGAGGGGAGGGGGCAGAGGAGGAGACAGGAGAAGAGGGGATGGCCGGCATCGTCGTCGTTGTCGTTGAATTTCCCACCCGGAAGGATCTCTATCGTTGATTCCCGCCCATGGTTTTTCGCAATGGAAGTGCGCTCCTTGGCTCTCTCGCTCTTTTTCGTCAAGCAGCGCCTTCCGGCTCAAGCTGCGGGCTTTTGGCCCCCCTGACCACAGCAGCAACGTCTCCCGCCTGAGTTCCTCGCAGTTTACTCGGGGCGCTCTCGCTCGAGGCTTCCCCGCAATCTATCTATGATTCGCTTGTCGCCTGGAATTTCCCCACAATTCACTCAGGCGTCGCGCTTTCGACCCTCGGGAAGCGCCTCTCGCCAGGAACTTCCTTGCAGTTTACTCGATCGCCGCGCTCTTGACGCTCAGTAACCGCGCCCTGTCCAATGATCTTTTCGTAACTTGCTGAGGCGCCGCGACTTCGACATTTAGATATCAGCTTGCCGTCGCTTGAAAACTCTTGACACTTGACTCAGGAATCGCGCCTGAATGTCCCGCCTGCCCGACCCGCCCGTTAGGGTCCGCCCGCCTGTCCCGCCTGTCAGGGTTCTCCCGCCCGCCCCGCCTGCCAGGGTCCGCCCGCTCGGCCCACCCGCTGCAACGTCCCGCCCGCCGGCCCCGCCTGCCAGAGTCCGCCCGCTCGCTTGCCTGAAAACCCGCCCGCCAGCTTTGATTTCCCGCACGCCCGATCGCCCAGGTAGGTTCGGCCAGCCCGACCTACGCGTCCAGGTCTGCCCGCTCGACCAGCCCATGCAGCAAACAAGATCCGACCATCTTTGAAGTATCGATGATGACTCTCGCTTCCGAACACTTGTTGTTCCTCCCCCTGGTCCAGTGGCCACTGCTTTCTCCAGTGGAAGCGCACTTTTCGGTTCTCGCACTCCTGTTTTATCAGGGGAAGTCTTCCAGCTCACACGGCGTTGTTGCCCCCCCCCCCCCCCTCTCCATCCCGCCGGTCTACAGCATCTACGGCTCCTTCCCGAGTCTCCAACGCAATCTGCTCGATGCTTCCTTGCAGTTTCATGATGAAACGCATGTCGCCTTGGATATCCCCACAGCTCTGGCAGGAATCGCGCTCCCGCCGCTCGGGAGCTGCGGGACCGCCCCGCGCCCGGCAGGGCCTGCCCGCCCGAGCCGCCCGTTGGGGTCTGCCCGCCCGACCCGCCTGTCCCACCCCGTCGAGCGAGCAGTCTCAAAGTGAGGGCTGCTGTCGCCGTCGTCGCCCTCGTCCGCGTCCGCCCCCCAGGACGGCGTGGGCAGGACTCCGCCGCCGATGCGGCTGCCGGGGATGGACTTCCTCGCGAAGCTTGGAGCGCGCGGGGGCGTCTGCTCGACTGCACGGAAGAGTGGCCCTTTGCCGGAGTGACCTGCGGCGCGGGCCCACCGGGGTACCCCTTACCGCCGAATCCGCTGTTGCAGTGGCGGCTTGCGCGCTGGTGTTTGGACCCCCCGCGCCTCACTAAAGGCGCGCATCAAAGTCACTCTTGCTTAGGGTCACCCTTTCGTGTATCCAATGTGACCGCGTAATTGCTGTCGCCGTCGCCGTCGCCGCCGTCGCCGTCGCCGCCGTCGCCGTCGCCGCCGTCGCCGTCGCCGTCGCCATCGCCATCGCCGTCGGGGCCGTCGGCGTCGTCGGCGTCGTCGTCGTCGCCGTCGACGTCGCAGTCGCCGTCGCCGTCGCCGTCGCCGTCGCCGTCGCCGTCGCCGTCGCCGTCGCCGTCGCCGTCGCCGCCGCCGTCGCCGTCGCCGTTGCCGTCGTCGTCGTCGTCGTCGTCGTCGTCGTCGTCGTCGTCGTCGTCGTCGTCGTCGTCGTCGTCGTCGTCCCCGTCGTTGTCGCCTCAGTCGCCATCGCTGTCGCCTTCGTCGTCTCGTCGTCGCCGTTGTCGTCGCCTCAGTCGTCGTCGTGGTCGTTGTCGACGTCGTCGTCGTCGTCGTCGTCGTCGCCTCTGTCGTCGTCGTTGTTTTCGTCGTCGTCGTCGTCGTCGCCTCGGTCGTCGCCGTCGTCGTCATCGTCATCGTCGTCGTCGCCGTCTCCGTCGTCGTCGTCGTCGTCGTCGTCGTCGTCGTCGTCGTCGTCGCCGTCGCCGTCGCCGTCGCCGTCGCCGTCGCCGTCGCCGTCGCCGTCGCCGTCGCCGTCGCCGTCGCCGTCGCCGTCGCCGTCGCCGTCGCCGTCGTCGTCGTCGTCGTCGTCGTCGTCGTCGTCGTCGTCGTCCTCTGTCGTCGCCGTCGTCGTCGTCGTCGTCGTCATCATCATCATCATCATCATCATCATCATCATCATCATCATCATCATCATCATCATTAGCATCGTCATCGTCATCATCATCATCATCATCATCATCATCATCATCATCATCATCATCATCATCATCATCATCATCATTATCATCATTATCATCATCATCATGATCATGATCATCATCATCATCAGCAGCATCATCAGCATCATCATCAGCATCATCATCAGCAGCATCATCATCATCCATGTCGTCTTCGCTGTTGTCTTCGACATCATCGTCTTTCTCCTGTTGTTCTCTCCTCCTCCCCTCCCCCTGCCCCGGCCTCTCGTTCCCCTTCCTTCCGCTCCCCCTTCCTCTCTCCACCCATCTTTCTTCCTTGCAAATGCTCCCCGTCTCGTCGCACCATCAGACTTATCGGCAGGGTGGGCCAGGCGTTCGTATTTCTGCCGTCTCGTCGCACCATCAGACTTATCGGCAGGGTGGGCCAGGCGTTCGTATTTCTGTTTCTTCACGTCTTATGATGCTCAAGCTTGAACTTCCCAGCAGCTACACGGATGGAGGGCGGGCCGTTTTCAAAATGATACTCTTGCAGCAGCGTCACGCACATCGGTTTTAAATTTTCCCAGCTGTTGTATCCGCCATGCGCAGCAACTTCTGGTTATGCTCAACGGTTCTACGACAGGCGCAAAGCTATCCTATCTCGACGCAGCCAGGAACTGGCTGAGCACACAAGTCACGCTCACATGACGTGAAATGTCCAGTCGAGGACTGGTGCAGTGGTGTACGCAAGGCTCGCGGCACTCGTCGCTCGTCTAGGGGTGCCCTTCGCCCCCGAGTCACGCTTGAGGGGTCCAGCATCGTTATTCAGAGGCTGCGCGGAGCGTTGCGTCGTAGAAGGGGCGAAACATGTGACGTTCACAGCGGCCCTCAAAAGGGCACGCATCAGAGAGGTCGTGGGCACATTTGGCTCTGATGATCACCGCCGGCTGCGGCGTCCTCAGCGACACGGCAGCGGCCAGGGGGATCCGGGCGCCGCCGTGCCGCTGCCGGGGGGCCCGGCCCCGAAGCCCGAAGCCGAACTCGTGGTGGCCTGCCTGCGGGCCACCTCGCCGAACTCGAGACGGCCAGGAACTTCGGCTCAGCGTGCCCCGCCGCCGACTCTGGCCCACCACGCTTCGGCGCGACACGCTATCCGCGTCCCCGTGCTCGAGCGTCCACGTCCCGAGCCTTTCGCGGCTTCCGCCCCGCGGGTCGGAGCGACACGCTATTAGTTTGCAGGGCATGGCGTCTTGCCGGAGCCGCCGCCGCGACACGCTACGCAACAGTTCCCGACCGTACGAGTTTTTCAACCTTCACAGCCCTTCCCCGTCCCAAGTTGAGCGAAATTTCAATCCGGAAGTCTAGCCGCCAGCCCAAAAATATGGCAGCTTACCTGGGTACGTCATGGGTAGACTCTCCAGGGGCGAACTTCAGCCCCGCGGTGCCTTTCGCGCTGGGCCTCGCCAGCGAGCTGCCTTGACGACCACCAACCGACACGTTTACTTGGCTCTGATGTGCCGCGAGCTTTTGCGACTTGCGACTTGCCTATTGGTCAGCAAATTCTGTTGTACAGCCGGAGGCGTATCTAGGAAGGTGCGCTTCCAACGAAGCACGACGGCAGTTTGCTCACCAGACTCGAACACCTCTTCCTGTCCAACTGGCGGCCGCAAGCACCGCAAGCACGACACCCAGGGCCAGGTACACCGCGACCTCGTACACCACTCAACTGCAGAGATGACCAGCAAACACAGGGTTCGAGGCCTCTCTACCCCTGGTTTGCTCCCCACTTGTCGGAAATACGGGGTTGGACGCCCCTCTACCCTGGTTTGCTCCCAACTTGTCGGGGGGCGTCCGGCGACTGTGTCGTCGGCGCCTACCCGACGGCGGAGTGCATACGCCAGAAAACGAAGATAAAAGAGGGCCACGTGCCCAAGGCACGTAAGCAGGTCGCAGAGGACCAGTACGACGACTGCGGAACCGACCTCGCAGGTCTGGCCCCATATCTGTTGCGCTTTCAACCCATTGGCGAGCCGGGTCAAACCGACGAGTGCGACGACGACGTCGACGTCCAGGGCAGCCTGGCCTCACGCCTGCACGCGCGCCGGCCCCGGCATCGGATCGCAATCTGGCGAGTGCTCTAACATCGCGGTCCACCGAGTTCGACCGTCCACCAACTCCTCGCCTACCTCACCTCTCTCGACTACGGCGCCGACATCGTGGAGGTAAGCGGTGGGGAGGCGCGGACCAGCAGACTGGCCATCCGCCGCCACCCGAGCTGGAGAGAACTTCGGCCTGGTTACTGTCTGTGACTTCCATAACGTGTCGGCTTGGGCTTCTGGATCGCCACGGAGGCATCTTGAAGCAGACCGCCGGGCTGGTTTCCAACGCCCCGGACACCTCGAGCAGTTCTCCGACCTCCGCTGCCCAGGCAAGCGTGCGCACGTCCACGTCGAGGTTCACGACAGCTTCGACGCCCAGATTTGGACATGGAAGATGGCCGAGCGACTCGTCCAGGGCACAATGGACTTACGTCGCCGCTTGCGGCGTCCGCATCTCGTGAACTGTGTTCGCGAATGCGGCGTCCGATCAGCAGCCTTCCCAGCTGTGGCTGCCGGCGCTACTGAGGGACAGAGCAGACGCGAAGCTGCAGCCGAGCGCGCACGCGACACATGCAAGGCGTGCCAGCGCAACAGGCGGGCGGTTTCGCCCATGCACTCCAGGGGTCCAGCAGCAGGCCGCTATCCTCTCAACGCGCCGATCCACTGGGAGTGCCCCAGCTGCCAAGAGGAGAAGGGACACGATCACCCCCCGCACATTCACGAGTTTGGCAAGTGCAGGCTCGCGGGCCACTGCGCCCGGCCGCGCCCGCGCGCCGGCCCGCTTCCGCGAGCGCCAGCGCGACCTGGAGGACATCCCAGTGATCAGCAAGCTACCCAGCGGCGCAGATTTCGGAGCAGCAGACGAGGCTGCTCTACCACCCGCGCCCGCAGGAGGGTCAGGTGCCAGCTTGTAGTCCAGCGATGGAGCTCAGGGTTCTGGTTCTGGCGGTTGTGTCGCTCGACTGGGGATCCGAGCTCAAGGTGCTGGTTCGGGCGACTGCGTCGCTCGACCAGGGGTCCGAGCTAGTCCAGCATCGGGCACGGAGCCTCGTCGAGCAGCGCCGCGAGTTGCCGACGCAGTTGCTTGCAACCCGACGCCCTCAGAGTGGACTCGATCCGAGGTCGCAACCTCCCCCCGAGCACTTCGCAGTGACTCGCGCGAAACGCGCATGCGGGAGCTGCGCGAGCTACGCCTTCGGCGGTTGCGTGCTATTTCGAGCATAGCGAGCATCCCTGCCGCAAGACATCCTCAACCCCGCCCCCCCGGTGGTCAACAACTGTAGGGGGCGCCGCGTGTGGCTGCCGCCAGCGCGCCAGACAGCCCCGAGATTCCGCCTTTCGACGCGTTTCAAGTGGCACGTCGAATGCGACATCCTGTTCCGCAGGGACCGCACGACTATCTACCTGATCTGTTGTGCCTCACGGTGGCATTATGGTCAGGGGGTCGCGCCCAGGCGCGACTCGACGTTTCCTGCCGCCATGGCCCGCTCATGGATCCCGCTGGATCGTGGGCGGCGAGGGCGGGGCTTCTAAACGTACTTCGTAGAGGAGATGGAGAGGCGTGGAACACATATTGACGCGCGTGCTCCGCGCGCTCGCTTCGTTGAGTGGCATGTGGCCATGCTGCGACAAGCACGTCGCGCCGCGGAGGAGCAGCTGGAGCGCGAGGGCGTCGCGTCGAACTTCGACCCCGTGCTGGTGCATGCTTTTTTTGCTGGCGAAAGCCCCATCCACGTGGGCGGCGTCGCGCCATTCAACGTCGTCTTCGGGCGGCGGCCGCCCCTGCTGCAGCCCGGCTGTCTGCAGTGGCGCGTCCGACAGATAACCCTCCAACGCGTGATCGAAGCCGCGTCGATCGCGCGCGTCCTTCGCGCCCTCTGGGCCCGCGCCGCCGAGTCCAGGGAGGTCCGCTTCAAGGTGGGCGACCAGGTGGAGATCCACGGGCCGCCCAGCGCCGAGGACGTGTCCGGGTGGGCGGGCCCTGCAACCGTCGCGTCTGTCAACCCGGCTCGAGGCGAGGTGGCGGTCGTGTGCCGCCGAGCCAGGGTGGTCTGCAGACTGCGAGGCGCTCGGGCCTTCACCGGTGCCGTCTTCGACGAGATGGGCACCAGCATGGCGCGAGCGGGCTTGGCCTGGGGCCAGGTGGGGACTACCTGGAGCACGTGGCCCCAGGCCCCGGGGTCAGGACCTTCGGCCACTGGGCGGACGCCGCGGGCGCGCGGCTCACCGAGCAGGCGCGACATCGCCCAGGCGTCTTCGAAGCCCTGCGCCATCTTCCACGAAGATGATTTTAGCCTCCGTGGGCTATTGGCCGGGCTGCTCCCGCAGCTTGGCCATCCGATGGTTTCTTCAGAACCCAGTCGACGTCTCGACGGCGTCGCGTTCGACGCTCGCCGGCTCATCGGCGAGCATTGGAAGGGGGCTCGCATCGTCCAGTTAATCTTGGGCGATGAGCCGTAACTGGTGACGGGCGCCAGACTGGGCCTGGACGGGGCGCTCGATGACTGTGTCATCGACGTTTCCGAGGACACCGCCCGCGCCGCCGAAAGTGGATCGCCGTCAGATCTGTCGGCTGCGCCAGAGGAGACTGGCAGCGACTTCTCGGGCCACATCCAGCAGGTGATCTTGGCAGCCTGGCGTTAAGTCGAGGGGGCAGCATGCCTGGCCCAGGAGCTGGAGGAGCTGGAGAGCGCCGACAGCCAGCGCAGAATCTCCGTTGCCGTCGAGCACGCCGCGGCCGACTTAGGCCGCAGGCCACGCGAGTGGCCCCGGCACCTCGAGGCGCAGCGCTGGCGCCCGAGCATCCACGCGCAGCGGGGCCACTACTTCCGCGGGGCCTCCGTGGACGACTGCGCCTCGCTAGGGGCGGAAGACGATGTGGGTGGACACGTGGAGTCGCATCTGGATCCAGGGGTGCGCGAAGCGTTTCCGAGCTTGAACTGGGCCGCGTCAGGCGACTGCGTCGCCGGCGCTCCTCAGACGGCTGCGTCCGGCGACTGTGTCGCCAGCGCTCCTCAAACAGCTGTGCTTAGCATGTGAGCCGCCGTCGAGGCCGCGGCCATCGAGCGCGACGCCGACCATCTCTCCGACGAGGAAGGGTCGAGGCTGTCGAAGGAGGTCGCCGCCGCCATCCTCGAGGAGCTCACGGCCTGGGTCACGTGCGTATGTTTCGAGGGGCGACCGCTGAGAGGCGCCCGAAACGTAATTGATTCCAGACGCGTCTTCATGTGGAGGCACCAGAAGAGATCAGACGGCAAGACTGTTGGGGTCACCCGGTGCCGCGTGGCGCTGAGGGGCTTCCGTGGCGTGGGGCCGGGGCCCTGGAGGCGTTCGCTGGCACTGCGAAGCGGGCGTCGCATCCCTAGAGGTTGCGCGTTGCCCCGATCGGGCGTGCGTCGCCATTGACGACGAGAAGGCATTCCTGCGAGGCATGACCTATGCAGAGATGCAGGGGCAAGGCGACGCACCTTGAGAGGTGAACTTCACCCTGCCACCCGGCTGTGCAGCCATTCTCAGGCACGTGCCTGGCTGCGAGAGCTTCGACGGGCGGACCGAGCGCCTGCGCCAAACCTACCAGGTGGGGCCCGGAGCTCGAGGTCAAGCGCGTGACGTCCGGCAGCTGTGCTGCCGGCGTGTAAGAGCTAGTGCTCATGTTATCCAAGCGTGTTGACGATCTGAAGTTTGCTGGGCACGAAGAGCACGTCGACCGGCTGATCAGCCACATCTAGAGCGTCTTCGGCAAGATGAAGGGTGATTAGGACGACTTCATCAATTGCGGACTGCGCTGGCACCGCAGGGCTGGTGGCGCCGCGGCGCTCGACCAGGGCGAGTGCATCGACGCTCTGATATCGATCAGACACGTTTACCTGCTCAAGGCCACGGCTGACGAGCCGGCCAGCGGTCAGCTTCCTGCCCTCTTTGGCTTTCTCCTGGGAGCAGCGGCCTACGCCCTGCTCGCCCATCGCCGCGTCGCAGCGTGCGTAGTCGCCCTGCTGGGGGCCAAGAACGAGCTGCTCGTCCGACGTATGATGCAGCTCCATTCCGTTGTTCTGGCCATGCAGAAGATGAAGGCACGCATCGCGTTTCCATCAATGCACTGCGCCGGGCAACTCAGCGCGCGCAGCGAGGAGGTGTCGGGGCGCGGCGCGAGGGGGGCCGCGTGCGTGCGTCTCGGCGAGTGCTGCCGCGCAGGCCGACAGGTGTGCCACCTGCTGGACACTGTGAGCCGATCGCGCAAGCCTGTGTGCGGATCCTCATTCGGCTCCGAGCTGCTCGCAGCATGCGGCGCAGCAGACGGTCTGCAGGCGCGCCTCCTCGCGTTGCGCGAGTTGGTGCACGGCCCCGCCCCTTTCGAGGAAATCAGGAGGCTGAGGGAGGAGGGAAATTGGGCGGTCCCTGCAGGCCTCGTCGTCGACGGCGCGTCCGTCTTCAGCGCCCTGCTCATGGGCCCCGTCCGGCCGCCGTCCGAGGAAAGCGTGGCTGGCCTCCTGTGGTGGTTAGCCAACCGGCCGCGCGCTGCGCAGATCGACGATGTGCGCTGGTGCGGCATTCGGGGCACGCGGGTCGGCCCCGTGGCCAGGGGCAGCGTTGGCCGAGAGCTAATCCTCAGCGTGATGGGCGGCCAGATCAGCTATGACCACGCCGCGGGCAATTTCGGCGACGAGAAACTGAAGAAGGCAATCTCGAGCTCATAGCAAAGCTCACCGACGCAAAACTAAGGAGATGTCTTCGTGACTGTGTCACGAGGTCACGCGGAGTCGGAAAATTGATATACGACGTCAGCGGGAGAGATCGATGAGAAGAGCACTCGAGTGAGCGGGCTTGCTCGGACTGTGTCCGGGCAGTTCGCGGTTGCTTTGGCAGATCTCCTGAATGACCTCGCAAGTTTTTCAGGTGGTGCATCGGTTAGCCTGCTCTGGCTAGTCCCCCGGGCTCTGGCGGAAGTACTTCCATTCCTGCCGCTGGCGCCGTCGCGTGTGTTTGCGGCTGGTGCCGCGTGGGGGCCAGTCTGGCCCTTGGAACGGCGTGAAGTTCGCCAGCCCAGGGACATGCCGAATCCAGGTGAACTTACCCCTCGCGACCAGGCAAGTTTTTATGAAGGGGGCGGTTAGTGGAGCCCTCCTTGGTATTGTTTTCCCGAATGCACGACGGCGAATTTGACCGCCAGATTCGAACGGTAGCCCACGTGTCCTTTCTCACCTTTGCCTGTTGTCATGGTCTCTCCTTGCCGACGCCGTTTGTGCTCTGGGCTTGGAGGATATCCTCCCGTGCCCGTCTTATTCGTGCCTTGCGCACGCCTTCTTTCTGCGCCGATACAGAAACTATTCGCATATTCATCCTTTCACCTCTACATGCTCGTTTCTAGTCCTCCTCCCTCCTTTTTTTTTTCTCTGTCTCTCTCTCCTTTCCTTCCCTCCCTTTTCCTCTCCTCCCCTCTTCTCTCGTCTCTTCACCACACCTGTTTCTTCTTTCTCCTCCTCGACTCCTCGCCCCTCCCCCTCGCGCTCGAGGGAGAGTCTGGACGGGCGGGAGGCGACCGCGTGAACTTCCTCGAGGCGTCGATGGAGCAGCTCAAGCTCGGCGAGGAGAGCGGCCTTCTCCATCGCCGAGTCCCCAGGCGTGAGATCCCATCGCACACTGGTTTCACTGCCTCTGGCATGGATGAGGAGCTTTGTGCTGCGACTGGTGACGACGTGTTTTGACCCGGAAAGCTATATGATCGGACCACGACTGTGTGAACGAATCGAAAGTTTCATGATTGGGTGTGCGGATTGGTATGACCGCGCATAGCAAAACGCGGACTCTACTGTATTGTACTGTGCCGGTTTCACGCCTATTCGGTTCGACCCGTGAGCCCTTATGAGCTGTGTTTTACGCCGTGAGCCAGACCAGACTGGCCCGGCAATGTCGTACGTGTTCTCGTATGATTGATGAACGTGCGTCCATCTTACTTGTGAAGGAATGCCATGCCGTACGCAACCCGATCCGGCCTCAGCTCGAGCCCTTGTAAACGATGTCAGGCGGTGGGTATCACGTCTATCCTTGTGAATTCATGCCGCTCGATGCGCAGCTCGATCCAGCCATGGCGCGTTCCTTGCGAAGTAATGCATTGCGGTTGAGATTCTTTCATCGGTGTTGCGAACCCCATGTGGAAAACAATGCGGGCCACATGCACGCGCTCGCGCGCGAGCAAAACCAAATTACCCCAGTGCGACCCTACCTAAAAGTTGGAGCCCCTAGGAAAGCAGCATTAGTTGCTATGCTATGCTATGCTATGCTATGCCATGCTATGCTGCGCTATACTATGCTACGCTATGCTATGCTATGTTATGCTGGGCTATGCTATGCTATGCTATGATATGCTACGCTATGCTATGCTATGCTATGCTATCCTAAGCTATGCTATGCTATGCTAAGCTATGCAATGTCATGCTGCGCTGTGCTATGCTAAGCTATGCTAAGCTATGCTATGCTAGGCTGCGCTATGCTATGCTATGCTATGCTATGCTCTGGTATGCTATGCTATGCTGCGCTGTGCTATGCTGTGCTGTGCTGTACTGCGCTATGCTATGTTATGCAAAGCTATGCTGCGCTATGCTATGCTATGCTAGGCTATGCTATGATATGCTGTGCTGCGCTGTGCTATGCTACGCTATGCTATGCTATGCTGTGCTCTGCTATGTTAAAGCTCAGCGAAGCTAAGATGAAGGTAAGCTAAGCTAGGATAAACCTGAGCTAAGATGAAGCTAAGCTATGCTAGGATGAAATTAGCTGAGCTAAGATGAGATAAGCAACGCTAAGCTAAGGGGACGTAGCTGGGGGAACCGCGGGGCGGATGCCGGGGGAACCGCCCGGGGCGATTAGCACTGCCCAGCCCTTTAAGCACACAGGGTAAGGACCCTTCTAGGCAGAGCCTAGGTCGGGAATAAGTTAAGCTAAGATGAGATAAGCAACGCTAAGCTAAGGAGACGTAACTAGGGGAACCGCGGGGCGGATGCCGGGGGAACCGCCCGGGGCGGGTTCCACTGCCAGGCCCCTTTAAGAAAGAGGGTAAGAACCCTTCTAGGCAGAGCCTAGGTAGGGAATTATTGTAGTGGCCTCCGGCCAGTGCCGCCGATCCGGGGCGCTCCTGATGCTATTGTCGTTGACATGGACGATGACGACGACAACGGACGACCAACGGTCGACGAGCGGAATAATTACGACGACGACCGACGAAGGAGTTCATGACGACGAACCGACGACGACGACGACGACGACGACGACGACGACGACGACGACGACGACGACGACGACGACGACGACGACGACGACGACGACGACGACGACGACGACGACTGACGGCGAACGGCTGCCGACGGCCGACGACCGACGACTGGTGACGGCGACGGGTGGAAGGTTCTTCGTTCATCGTTTTCGCTTCCGAGCAATACCAAGTCAGGCCTGGCAGCACGCGAGTGAGCGCCTCTTGGGGCCTCTTGGTTCTTGGGGCTTCTTGGGGGCCTTTGGGGCCTCTTGGGGGACTCGGGGTGCTCTTGGGGGCCTTGGGGACCTCTTGGGGCCCCTTGGGGGCGCCTCGGGGGCATCTTGGGGGCTCTTGGGGTCATCATGGGGTGGAGGACTAGAAGGGTCCAGTCGGGTTCACCCTCTTGAGGCCATCTTGGGGGCCTCTCGGGGTCGTCTTGGGGGGCCTCCAGGGCTATATTGGGGCCCTCTTGGACCGTCTTGGCTCCTGTCGGGGGCCTCTTGGGCTGTCTTGGGGCGATCTTGGGGGCCTCTTGGACCGTCTTCGGCGCTTCTAAGACGGAAAAGGCGATAATGTTAAAATGCTTCAAAACCTACTAGCAACTTTATCATTGTACCCTCTTGGGGCCCTCTTTGGGGTCCTCTTGGGATCTCCCTGGGCCGTCTTCAGGCCATCTTGGGCGTCCAGGAGCGCTCTTGGGCCGTTTTGGGCGCCTCCTGGACCGTCTTGGTGGTCTCCTGGGCCCCTTTTGGCCCGTCTTGTGGCGGTTTGGGATTCCCGGGGGGGGGGGAAAGAAAGCGTGGACCCGATGACCCCCCCCCCTCCCCCCCCTACCCCGGCAGAGCCCCCCCGGCCCCCCCCCAGCAGAGCTGAAGCTCAGGTTGTAGCTTTCTTAAACTCAAACGCCGGATCGGCGGATTTACAACACTATAGATTTCTAACGTCGTTTGATGACGTCACTCTTCACAACGGGTTATCACGGGAAAGCTGGATCACCGCGCTGCGATGATATGAATGATGGATCAGTTTTTTTCGATAGGGTGCGCAGATGAGCGTAATCGCGCGCTGCAAGAGCCACATTCTAGTTGATTCGACCCTATATTATTATTTTTCTCTATTCTTGCTGTCTTTCCTTTCTCCGCTCTGCTCCGCCCTAACCTAGTTAACTTCATTCTGCTTTACCCTACTATTCTCGGTTCGGCTACCTTTGTTTTCTACTGTATTCTTTGCTGGCCCATGGTTCACACTTGTAAAACTATAATGTGACAGACTTAGTTTCCCCCCTCCGCCTCCTCTAGACCCCATCCGATGTCGTTAAATCATGCAATATGGTGCGCACCGCGCGCATGTCCTTCGTAAGTACAGAGTGCGGCCCGCAGCCAGATCTAGCACGGGCACGTTCCGTGGCAAGAAAGACCATGCGGTGCACATGCGTTGATGATACAGGTGCGTTGCATGTCATGGGCGGTGCAACAACATGTTTTTCTCCAGTGCGGAACCTGTTTGATTCCGCGTGCGTTCGCGCATATGCAAACCTCCAGAACGCAGTCGCATTCTAAACATCATCTTTCAGCAGGTTTTGTTGCTTTTTTCGTATGCGCGTGCGCAGGCGCATCAATGAAGCACCGCTGGCTTTCCAAGGACATGTGTTTGGTTTCCCCGAGACCGATCCGCGCGGGGGATTCGTCCTGATCTCGTGCGTGGCAGGCAGCGCGCGGCGCCGGAGGTCACACAGACTGCCCCCAGGGCCACGCGCTCTCCATTCCCGATCAACGCCACGGGCAAGATGCTCGCATGAGTTCTTCACCTTAAGACGGCCTTTGTGCGTGCTGTGGGGTCGGGAGGAAGGAGCTCAGATCGTCAGCCAGGTCCCAGCGTTCGCTCATGCCACGGCCCCTGGAGTGCGAGAACGGCCCCGCGACATGAACGAAGATGAAGAGCCGTGGTTCTACGATCGGGTGTTCTGGCGGGCTCGATGGGTTGTCACATTGGCACCTAGGCCCTAGGCCCTAACACTAATACATTACGCTACTCTCTCTATCGGTCATCGAACTCGACTGGGGCCAATCCGACCCATGCATTTTCCAATGTGCGTTTGACGTGTTTTCTGGACCCCGCATCCTTCCCATATACTACATCATAGCATGTGGTGCGCAACACGATCCGTTTTCGGGATTTCCGAAACCAGTCGTGTTGTACGGTGGGTGTTTGTTGATCGTATGCTAGAGCCCCTATTCAATTATATCATGCGGGCCACGATGGCGTCCGCGCGACAATCGACACAGTTTCGCTGGAAGTCCAGTAGAAAGAAGGCGTTCAACCACACGCTGTCAGATTTCCTGTGCGTCCACACTTGCGACCATCATGAGGGGAACATATCCGTGGGGTTCCAAGTTTTGAAGTTTACATTTCTGAAACACCAGCGGTTTTCAGTCACAGATTTGCTCGACGTATGGTCCGCCGGTGGCACCGGGACTTCTCGGTGCTCTAGCTCCTTTCCAGACTGGGAATTCTCCGTTTCTTTGCCGTACTTCAACGTGCCCCAGCTGGTTTCAAGAGGCGCACCAACGCAAGGATCCTTATCGCGCAAATCCATGATTTGGGCGTGTGGGTGATGATGGTAATGGCGACTTCGGGGATGACGACGATGATGTTGATGTTGATGTTGATGTTGATGTTGATGTTGATGATGATAATGATAATGATGATGATGATGATGATGATGATGATGATGATGATGATGATGATGATGATGATGATGATGATGATGATGATGATGATGGTGATGGTGATGGTGGTGGCGATGACGACGAGGACAACGGCCAGTACGATGACGTTGTCGGTGGTGATGATGTTGTTGCTGATGATGGTGATGGCGACGGTTGTGGTGATGATGACAATGCTGGTGCTGATGGTGATGAGTGTGATGGGGGCGATGATTTCGGTGGCAGTGGCGACGGTGACGATGCTTATCGCGATGGTAATGATGTGGACTATGAGGAAATGGGCGCATCATCTTGTGTTGAACAATCATCGAGCTTTAACATGTGCTTTCAACACTTCTACCTAGAGCTGCTCAGAACACCAACGGTGTGCAGGGATGCCGACCGGTTTCGACATGCGCGCGCGGGGACGTGTGCGTGGGGCCCTAATTGTATTCTCGGACAAAGGTGGAGGGTGTGCGCGGTGGGTGGTGAGTGGTTTCGACAATGCCCCCGCGTGGCCCGTATGGTTTGTCGTGCACGCTTCGCCGAGTGCGCGCGCATACGCATGTTTGATTGACCAGGTTCCTTTAACTCATAACCCTTTGCCAAACAATGTTTGAGCATTAGTTGTTGGGAGTGGTTCTTTTCATGTTCCAGGGCGTGTGGTTCGCATGGTATGTTCCGACACGGCATCATGGATTAATCACTGTAGAGTTCAAGCGGGTGCTCCGTATATTTTTATGTGACAAGGATGTCAGGGGCGGGTTTGATAAGGGGTCTGGTTTGGACCGTATCGTTTGATATTTTGTACGAGCGGTCGTCCAGCGTACGCATGGGAAACCAATGCGCGCAGTTGAAGCGCTTACCCCGGCTTCCAGGGGGGATTTTCGACTTTACCTTTCGGTTAACCAACACATTCCGCATAACAGAAAACCTATTGGGTACGCTTTTTCTCATATTCCAGAAGCGCCAGTCAGGACCCCGTTGTTCGAAAACCCGAAGAACCCATCCAGCGCACGGAGCGTCCGCGAAACGCCTAGGCGGAGGCGCCCACGGGCCGAAACCGCGGAGAGAACCCTGCAGGCGTTCGGGCCGCCGACGATGGTGCCCACGGGTGCGTGCTGGGCGAACACCCCGGAAACCCACGCAGCTCGCCACCAACGAGGCAGGAGTCGCTTAGTGCAACCGCTGTTTAGGGGGCCGCCGTGTTGGAACATGTTCTGCTAGAGCATCGTGTGACGTAGTATGTTATGTTATATTATCGTTCCGCGCATTGTTTTATGTTTTTCCCCACTCC